AGAGCTAAGATACAAATCTGAGCTGAACCCGGAGCCTGAATATAACCCCTCTGTACTGCAGAAGCTGTGGAGCGGCCCCAGGAGAGGAGGTCAAAGAACGCTTTCCATGGCAGCTTCCTGTCTCCTCACTGTGCCCTGCTAGCTGGGTGGGCATGAACAGAAGGGAATCCTGGCAGTGGAAGCATTTGGGAAGAGGCTGTGCTCCAGAGAAAGCATAATCAATAGTAGCGGGAAGAATGAGAGCATCACCAGCACCTTGACTCAGCCCTCCCCTCCCTGATTCCAACCACAGTGAGCAAGCAAAACAGGCACTTGGAGGATGCTTGGTCTGCACTCCCAGCACTGCGTGGCCCGGAAGAGGACAGGTATTGGCAGGGTGCTGTAGGATGGCGCTTGGGCAAGTGAAATGGAGAGGGGTTGGTGTTGGGGGCTTCAGGGCTGAGTGTGCAGTACAATAGGCCCCTGGAGGAGACTATTGCACCATGCTGTGCTGCCTTCGCCCACTTGGCATACTCGCCTGACATTTTCACAATCAGCACAGAGTCTGCCAGGAATCTGCAGACATCAGCTCTGCCCTCTTCTCCCACACACAGACTGATCCTTTGCCCTAGAGCTGGGCAGTAGCTTGTATGTGGGGACTCTAGCTGATCTCCCCAGGGACATCTTCCATCTAGTCTTGCCCTGGGCCCTTATTGTTCACTGCCTAGCCTCAGTTTCTGTTGCTTTTTTTTTTCTCCCCGGAACCGGGGATCAAACTCAGGCCCTCCCCAGCCCACTTCCGTTGCTTTTGAAGCTCAGCTTCACTTGCCTCTGGTAGAGATGTGCACAAGTTCACACCTATTCAGAGACTCTTGAACTCTGAGATCTCTTTTCTGCCCACCTCTCCCTACAAAGGCCTCCCAGATTATGTTCCCTTAGGAAGAATGAATGCGACGCTCTGCTGCTTTTCTCCACTCATTTTCCTGCTGCTGTCCTTCTCAGAGTTAGCTTTAATTAGCTAACTCCAAACTGGCCCCTGGGCCAAGCTGTGGGCTGGGAGCTGCTGAGTTGTTAGGGGTTGGGTGAGGGCTGTGGGAGATGAGGAGGGAGAGAAGGCTTCACACGCTGGGAAATCTGGTGAGGCTTCAAGGGAGGGGGCCCTTTATGGCGTGGCCAAGTTCCAAATGCTGGCCTTGAGCCAAGCCTTGAAGAAAAGGGGCCCTGAAGACTGGCTAAAAGGCGCCCTGTGGGAAATGACCTCCAGATCCTCTCCTTGAGATTCGAGGGTTTCTCTTGGATAATCAGACCATAATGGTCAAGCCATTTCCCCATGGACTCCCTTCAGTCACATTTATCTTCCTCTCCCAGCCACTCCCACAGTTCAGGCTCTGACCACAGCCAGAATTCAGAGGCGGGCAGGAGGATCCGGTGCTGGAGAGGAGTTGGGGTGAGAAAGTCTTCACTTTGGGTTGAGAGAGCCTGGGCCTGGAGCACACAGGCTTGGAGCCCTCAGGCTTGGAGCCCCCATTGCCAGATGAGGTGGAGAGAGAAGTTAACCCTTGCATGGATGTTGTGGAAGCCCCTGCTTGTGTGAGCTGGAGAAGAGAACTGGAAATGGTCCAGTCTGGAGCAGCTGAAGTTAGGGATTCCAGAGCCAGGGGAAGAAAGAGTCAGTGGGAAAAACGGCTGCAGAAAGTCTTGGTTCCCACTCAGACAAGGGCCAAACAAAGTCTTTCCTAGATCTGTACATTTCACAATTTTTAATTTTTGAAATTATTTTGAAATAGTTTGAGACTCAGAGGAAGTTACAAAAATAGTGCATGAGTTCTTACATGCAGTTCATTCAGCTCCCTCCAAGGGGGAGGAGTGTGATGTGTAACTGGGTGGACAGTATCAGAGTAGAGGTTGACATTGGCACATGGTACTCCCTCCCTCTTTTCTCACTTTTTTTTTTTTTTTTTTTTTTTTGGCAGAACCAGGGATTCAACTCAGGCCCTTGCGCTTGCCAGGGAAGCACTTATTCCACTGAGCCATCTTCCTCCAGCTCTTCTTTTCTCCTTTTGAGACAGGATCTCACTATGTAGATCAAACTGGCCTTGAATTCACTGTGTAGCCCAAGTTGGCTCTGATTCTCCACAATTCTCCTATCTCAGCCTCCCAAGTCCTGGGATTATAGGTGTGTGCCACCACAGCCAGCTGTACTATGCAATCTTTTTTTTTTTTTTTTTTTTTTCCTGTACTGGGGATTGAATTCAGGACCCAGTGCTTGCCAGCAGGGCATTTATTCTACTGAGCTATCTCCCTAGCCCTTATGTAATTTTTTTTTTTGTCAGAACCAGGGATTGAACTCAGGCCCTTGCGCTTGCCAGGGAAGCGCTTATTCCACTGAGCCATCTCCCTGGCCCCATGCAATAAGAGCAGAATATATTTACTGGGGCAAAGCTTCATCCAAGACAGAAGAGGACCTGAGTGGGTTGCCCTATGTGATATTATCCTATGTAGAAATTCAGATAACCGTGAGATACAGAGCTCATTACCATAAAGGGGCTCCCTTATTGCTATCCTTTTGTCTTTGTACCTCCCCCAACTTGTTCCCTGGCAGCTAATATTTTGTCTTCATTTTTTGTATTTTTGTCATTTATGACTGTTATATGAGTAGAATAATGCAGTATCAGCTTATTTTCTCCCAATACTGGGAACTGAACTCAGGACCTGGCATATTCTAGGTAAGCATTTTGCAGTTTAGCCACACCCTTAACCTGAGCTTTGCTTTTTTCTTTTTTTACATTTGAGACAGGACCTCACTCTGTACTTTATGTTGTCCTTGAACTGACTGTGTAGCCCAGGTTGGCCTTGAACTTGGATCCTCTTGCATCAGCCTCCTGAGTGCTGGGATTACAAGTTTTCACTGTCACATTAGCTGAGCTTTGGCTTTTATTTATTTCTTTATTTATTTATAGTACTGGGGATTGAACTCAGGACCCTGCGCTTGCCAGGCGAGTGCTTATTCTACTGAGCTATCTCCCCAGCCCTGAGCATTGGCTTTTAATGTAACTGTTTTGTAAGCTCTTGACACAACTATAATACGTTTTCTGGTAGATAATAGTTTTTATGTTGAGCCTCCTCTGTGGGTAAGCCTTTTCATTTCCCTGGTCATCTATGTTATTACTTTTTATCCAACATTCTGGTCTCAATTCTCCTCTAGGGGAAACCTACTTGTCTATATTTACTAGGCTGGTCTAGAGCTCTTGTGTGTTCCCTGCTTGCCTTTGCCCCACTATTTTTAGCAAGGCTAATTTTGGGTGGCCAGTCTCTCTTCTTTTCTGTTCCTTCCTCCTCTGGTGGGTGAGGTGACTTCTCAAGTATTTGGGCAGAGGAGGTCAAGAAGCAGAATCTTGGCATCTGGTTTCAGCCTTGGATTTCTCAGTAGCCAGTGGTGTGGACAGCAGGCAGGCAGGAACTGCAGGTGCAGGCCCAAAGGCAGCTGGGTCTCAGGAGGCGTTTGAACCAGGTCAGAGGTTTGGACTGTGAGTCAGGAGTCCTGGTTCTGGCCTGAGTTTACAACTCTGCGTTCATATATCAGCTCCTCTCTCCTGCCTGAGATGCTGAGATAGAAAAAGATGAAAAAGGAACACTTGGGGGTTAGTGGAAGTAGTGGTGCCATGCTGGTGACAGCCCTTCTGTCAGCATGTGTGTTTCCCCTGAGCACTTGTTTAGAGAAGCACGAGATGCGGCCCTGAAGAGTGCATCCACAGGTAAAGTATAAACAGAGAAGCAAAGCATTGTGTACATTTTAAAATAACTTTAGCTGGGGCAGGGCTGTCAGGCCATTAGTTTTTTTTTTTTTCTTCAAGAATTATAACCCTGACAGAGGGGAGCAAATGGGATAAGGATCTTTTTTTGGAGTGGGGGTGGCTCAAGGGCAGGTCTGGTAAGGCAGGGGGAGCTGGGGATCGAACCACGGTATCCTGGTACTGACTGTGTTTGCACGAGCATGTGCTTAAACAACTGAGCTAACCAGCAGGTCCCCAAGCAAATGGGATAGAAAAGAATTAAGATGTGTTATATACATGTGCCAACTCCCCACAAGGAATGTGATCATTCCAACGTGTACTAATTGAAATAAAAATAGAAGTATATCCTGAACAAAGAGGAAGAGAAACAAAGCAAGGCAGACATTCTGGCACATGCTTATAATCTCAGCACTTAGGTGGCTGAGGCAGGAGGATCACAGCAGATTCAAGGCCAGCCTGAATTGCATAGTGAGTTCAAGGTGAGCCTAAATTACATAGTAAAAAAAAAAAAAATACTAGCTAGCTAGATAAAGGAAACATGAGATGTAGAGTTATGTAGGACACATACTGGAGCTTTTAAGATAGGAAAGAAAAAATGTTAAGATTAAGAAAACATTTGAAAGAGAGACAATAACATTGAGGAAAAAAATCTAAGAATGATTTCAAGTATGTGTGTGTGTGTGTGTGACAGAGAGAGAGAGAGAGAGAGAGAGAGAGAGAGAGAGAGAGACAGACAGACACACAGACAGAGACAGAGACAAAGACAGAGACAGACAGAGACAGAGACAGAGACAGCAGAAATGAGAATGGACACCTATAGGACCAACACGGTCAAGGAAGGGAAGTAGGAAGGCAAGTGGGAGTCAGCAGCCCTCCAGTTCGGTCAAATTATTTTCTATTCTCCTACTGGCCTCATTTCTAGATTAGAGCTATAAATAGAGAATTGGAAGATGTCCCGTCCCATTCTTTCTGCCCCAGTCTAGGGGGAAGGGAGAGGAAGAGGACCGGCCATCGGTTCCCTGTGGAGATCCCTGGGCTGCACCGCCCAGCTCGGCTGGAGCCTGCCCAGGCCTCGGCCCCTGCAGTCCACGTCTGTCCTGGTGCATGGGAAATGTCCAGTCCTGCCCAGGCCTGGAAGCTGGAGACCCTCTTCCTAGCCCTGCCCCGGGCCGGCCTCCTGCGTATGCGCCCTTCTTTGCACGCTCAGCCCCTCCTCGCCAGCTTTACTTGCTCTTCCATGTCGCCTTTCTTGCTATCTCCTCCAGGTCCGCGTCGAGCAAACTCCTGCCCTCTGCTCCTTCGCCATCCTTTTCTCTGCACCTCTCATCTCTCCGCCTGCTACCTCCCGAGGCTTCCTCGGCGGTTCCCTCTCTACCCTTCCTCTCTGCCTTTCCCGCTTTCCTTGACTGGGGGCAGCGTCGCCGCTGTCGCTGACTGGCTCTGGGGCGTGGAGAGGGGTTTGACTGCAGCAACTTAAGGGATGCTCTGTGGGCCTTGGGGAGAGGGATCCGCACCAGACCTAGGTCTACTAGTGCGCCCTCTGGTCCTCTCCTTCCTTCTCGTCTGCTAATTTCTCCACCAGGTTGTCCTTAATGCTCTTTGAACTTCTTTCCCACCCTCCTTTCTCAACGTTGGACCCTCTGTCCGTTCCTTTTTCTCCCTTCCCTTTCCGAGGCACCCCCCCACCTCCTCAGTTTAGGAGTCTGGGCTTGGAGGACGCGGGGCAGCGTGGCAGAGCGGTCCCCACCCGAGCTGCTGCGCATCCCCGCGGGGCGGCGCAGTCACCACCTGCAGCGGGGCTGGGCGGGGCTGGGGGCGGGGCTGGAGGAGGCGCGGCGGGGACGCGGAGCCCGGCCGCTGGAGTTGTCCTCGCCGGCGCTAGGGCGCCGAGGGGCTGGAGGGGAAGGTGGCTGCGCGAAAGGTGGGAGACCTCTGCCAGACCGGCCGGACCTGGGCGGGGGTGCCGACGGCGTGGGGACAGCTGAGGCTCGCGCGCGCCACAGTGTCCTTGCGCGGGCCGGGAGCGAGAGCGGGGTCCGTCCCATGGCCGGGACCCGGAGCGGCGCTCCCTGCGGGGCTCCCGGGATTTGCTCCCTTCTTGGCGCTTTGTTCGCTGGGCTGCTCTTCCCACGCGCTGTCGCCTTCAATCTGGATGTGATGGGCGCCCTGCGCAAGGAGGGCGAACCAGGCAGCCTCTTTGGTTTCTCGGTGGCTCTGCATCGGCAGTTGCAGCCTCAGCCCCGGAGCTGGTGAGTCACCGCCCGCTCCCAGAGCCCCCGGGCCCAAGCCACAGATCCCCTTCCCCCAGCTCCCAGGCTACCTGGCCCCTTCATCTATCTCTTCCCACACCTTTATCCGGAGCCTTTCTTCCTCTGTCTTGGGTCTACAGCCTACTCGCGCTCGGGTCCCGAGTTCTAGGATCTGTGCGGGGTGGTTGGGGAACAAGCCTTCTTGGGAGGGGACCGCCTCCTCTGGCTTCCTCTCTAGCTTGCATCTGTGCCGCAGGCCTAGGGTCTCCGACTTCTCTCCTCCGCAGAAGGCTAAACTCACCTGGGGAGGAAGACCACTGTGTTCTGTCCCTGCCGAGAGCAAGAGGAGACCGACAGGATGGAGAGGGTTTGGGGTCGTGGGCAGGACACAGGTAGATTCCGGAGCTGATTTCCTGCCTGGGCATCACTATGGGGTGGCACTGAGAAGCCAGGAGAAACTGGCTGATGCTTTAGTGGCTCAGGACAGTAGGAAAATTGGAAGAAAACCTGGGAGGGCCTGGCACTGGCCCTGGGGTTTCGCATCTGCGCTGCAGAAACGAGCACGTGGTGGCTTGGTGAGAGTGGCCTTCAGTGGTTGCAGCAGTGGCAGCAGCAGCAGTGAGAGCTAGGAAGGATGCTGGCCAGGCTTCTCCCTTTCCTCCTCCTTAGGAAATTTCCAGCTCCAGCAGTCTCCGCAGTAGGGGAAGGTGGGGAGAAGCAAGGGGCGAGGACGGTTCTAGTTCTCAACAGCTCAGACTCATGGGTGACGGATAAGTGTGTAGGGCCTACTGCTGCTCAGGCCCCTGTACCTTTTACTCTATGGAAAGGGAGGCAAGAAGGGGAAGAAAGCTTCCTGTCCCCTCTTGAGAGGGGGCTTCTCTTTCCTCAGCAAGTGCCTAAGCCACATTAAGTGTCCATTACTGGGATCAATGATGTCCACCGGGACTGTCTTCCCTTTGCTACTATTGGCCTGGAGGCAGAGGGCAGGGACAAGAGCTCATTTCTCCTGGCCCACTGGAGACCTTAACCTTTCTTCTTCCATCGTCCCTGCCATCTGAGAGCAGGATCTGTTGTCCCCCAAACTTTGGGGGAGGTAGAAAGTTAACTGATTTCATTTCTGCGGCTCACTTCTTCATCTTTCTCTCCCTTTCTCCCTCCCTCCTTCCCCCATCTGCCGAGTGCCATGGCTGGAGGCCTTTTTAGGACATGCTGAGCTCTCTGAGCTATTTCCAGGCAAATTCTAGGTTATTTTTAATAGCTTGGTCTCTTGTCATTTCCCCTTCCTCTCTGAAGGTGGCCCCTGATTCTGTCTCCCAGAGCCAAGTTGGGGGCGCTCCCAGAGGGGCCTGACCACCTAATCCAGCCTTTGCTCCAGCAGGGGGCGCTCTGCCACATGGTGGCCCTGCAAACTCGGGTACCTTGCTCAGTGCCTAGCCTTTGCCTTTCAGGTTGCCTTCTTATCCTCCGCCGTTGGAGAGACCTTACCTGTTTTCAGTTTAGCCTCTGGATGAGATTTTGAGGTCTAACCTTGCTCTGTGGTTGCAGCTTCATTTATTTCCATTCACTGTAAAGTGGCCATAAACAATAGAACTGTACACAGGGATTGGGGGGGATGATAAAGCATTCTTAATATATGTAAAGCCCATAGAATAAAGCCAAGCTGATAGTGAGTGGTATGAAAGTAATTGTACTATGAACTATGGTTATACTCGAATTGACACAGACCTGGAGAGCAGCTTTGGTCTTACTGCACCCTGGCTCCAAAGGCTTGGCTAGAGGGCCGCTGGGCTGAGCCAGCCACCCCCCGCCCAGCAGCCTTTCCAGCAGGCCACCCAGACTGCAGAGGTCAGAGGGGCTGGACTTGGGCTCTGGCCTGTGTGGAGAGCTGAGAGGTGCAGTGGTAGTGGCTACTGCTCTGTCTATGCAGTTGTGGCTGCTGATCTGTGGGGGGAGGCCTGGGTGGCTGGGGTTCATGGGGTGGAAGGGCTAGGGATGCTGTGGGTGGGCCCTTTGGTTCTAGAAGGAAGAGGCTGGTTTCTTCTCCACTGGAGTGTGGCTAGGCTTGTCCATGCACTTAGTTTCTTTCCTCCATGTGGGCCCTGCCGTCTGCCTGCTCTTGGCCTCCAGGAGAGAGTAAGCATCAGCCCCTAGGGCCCAGCTGTGTGCTGAGCAGTGGAGGCACTGGGTGTCTCCGTTAGACCTCTGTGTACCCACATAGGGTGTGGGTTCAGGAAACGAGTAAGATAGGATAATAGTACTAAGTCTCCCAAGGGATGTTCCTGGCCTTGTTTGTCGGTTGGGCACTACTGACTTGCCTGAACACTACCTGTATACACAGGACTCTGACACCTAGATTCCTTTTCAGCCCCAGAGTACCCTCTTTCCTTGCTTCCTCTTCTTTTTTTATGGAGTGGTCTTGGAGGGGCAGATTAGAGATACATGGAGAAAAGAGCCCTGAAGTCTAATACTGTAAATTCATCACAGAACAAGATAGTGCCATGTTTATCATGTACCATGTCCTGAGAAAATGTCCCCTACTATATTTACTGTATGCCGCCCTGCCATTCCCCAGAAACAAAGGTCAAGACCCTGATGAGTTGGGCTTGCACCAACCAGTGAAATTGTTATTTTTTAAAAACAGCTTCTCCCTATCCCTCTAAGTATGGAGTGCACCTCAAACCCATCAGGCGTTCTGAGCAGGGTGCCCCCACTGTGCAGCACCATCCGCTGCTAAGATAGCACTTTTGCCTTCTCTGCATTCACCACACTTTAAAATCAACTTTCTCTTTGCACCACGTCAGTCTTAACTCCCCCATTTCTCACTCAGAGCCCTGCTTTTTCACTCCGTGCTAATGAGGGCGAGGACCTAAGGAGGCAGAGGATGGTTACAGGGGAACCCCCACTCACTCCCCAGCCATCCACCTCACCCTAGAGACTCAGCCAGGTGCATGAGTCTCAGTGTTCTGAGGACAGGCCAGTCACTGGGAGGGGTGGTGACACAGCAGAGCCATGCTGATGCAGGTTTGGATTCCAGCATAACTACTTCATATCTGTGAATGAGTTTGCTCATGTGGAAGACAAGAAGGGAACCCTTATCTCATAGGAGTGTTGTGAGGATCAAATGAGGCAGCAGCGCGTTACTTGGCTCACCTGCTGCCGGGCCCATATATGGAGTCTGAGGAATGTTATTTTATTATATCCCCTGTGTCTCTCTTGGGGCCTGACCCATTGTAACTGCTGAATAAATATCACTTTCTTGTTTCACTAGTGCTAGACACAAGGCTTAGCTTATAATAAGGTGTCAAGAAATAATTTTAAAAATCTTTTTATTTTTTTTTGAGACAGGGTCTTGCCAAATTGCCCAGGTTCAATCTTCCTGCCTCAGCCTTCTGAGTAGTTGGGATTTCAGGCATTTGTTGCCATGCCCTGCTGGACTGTAGTTAAATAAATGCCGAATGTATGTTCTTTTCCTCGCTGCTCCCATCCCCCTTTGTGTCTTGACACTGGCTCTGACGAGGGATGACAGCTGCTGAGAGATGAAGAGTTGTGGGAAATGAATGGCTCTGTGCCTTCCCCCTCACCCTTCAGACCTGGCTGAGTGCCCCACAGATGCCTGGTTGTAATATTGCCTGACAGCTTTGGACCTCACCCCTCAGGAAGAGAGATGGAAGAAGAGGGTGGGAAAGAGGCCGTGAGGTTGGTCCTGCTGTTCCTTTTGAGCCTCTCCTTCTGTGCAGAGAGAACCCATGCAGTTAGCTGGGTGTCAGTCACCTCACCTCATCCCTTCCCTGACTCCTGGCCCAGGGGTTCAGCCCCAGGGGACCCAGGCAGCCTCCATTCCCAGCACATGCCTCCCCTGAGGAAGATGGCTTGGCTGTGATCATGGAAAATTGTCCTGCCAAGAGAGCGGTAGCTGGGAAAAGAGGCCGAAGGGGTGGGGGGGAGAAGATGGCCAGGGTGGGGGTGGGGGATGAGAGAGGACCATGGGTGCTGGAAGAAGATGGATACGGAATGGGATTCTGAATGTGGGCCGGGGTTGGGGACAGAATGAGAACTGGTTTCTCCTCTGTGCCAGCCAGTGTGACTGGTAGCATCCTGGCTGGCAGAGCTGTGGGCTGGGGGTGAGTCTCGCTGGTTGCCTAGGCGGGAAAGCAGGCCCATAGCTAGCTTCCTCTGAAGCTGGTCCCAGAGCCACACTGTGGTGCCAGTTGGGGCCCCTCTTGTTTTTGCTCCCAGAATTCCTGGCATTTCTGGCAGGCTTTCAACTGGACCAGGGCACGGGAGGAGGGCAGAGCAGTGGGTGTGAAGGCCTGGCCAGGAACAGGTGCCAGGGTTCTTTCAAACCAGCAGTGCTTCTTGCTGGCCTAGTCTGGTTGGCATGGTCATGTATTTGTATGTGTGTCTACTGTGCATCTGGTCCTTCATCCAAACAGTATGTGTGTATGTAACATGATTGATTGCATGGGCAACTGTGTTAATTTGTCCTTGTTACAGTTGGATAAAAATGACTTTTGCTCCTTCTCTTTAGTCCTCAAACACTGCTTGGGAGCTCAGGCAGCGCTGGAGAGGTCGGAGCACTCTGACTAACTGCAGTCCTTCCCCATTGTGCAGGCTGCTGGTGGGGGCTCCCCAGGCCCTGGCTCTTCCTGGACAGCAGGCGAATCGCACTGGAGGCCTCTTTGCTTGTCCACTGAGCTTAGATGAGACCGACTGCTACAGAGTAGACATCGACCAGGGAGGTGCGGCCCTGAAGCAGAGCGGGGGAAGCACAGGAGGATGGGAGGAGAGAACTTGGCCTCTTCTTCTGTCCTCTGATTCCCAGTGCCTTGCTTCCAGCTGATGTACGAAAGGAGAGTAAGGAGAACCAGTGGCTGGGTGTCAGTGTTCGGAGCCAGGGACCTGGGGGCAAGATTGTTGTGAGTATACTTCAGATTGTGACCAAATGTAAGGATGATGATGTGATGATGGTGATGCGGTCATGGTGATGATGACGGTGATGTGTGTGTGGTGTGTGGACATGCACAGCTATGCTTACAGACCACAAGTTGGACACGTGGTAGGATTCCCAGGGGGGATATGAAAAGTGTAAGAAATGATCCCTGTCCTTGTAAATTTGAAAGCAACTAATCATCTACTTCCTTGTCCAATTCTTATTGAGAATCTTTTCAGCACCAGGCATTGTGCAGGTTACTGAGAGGATATATAAAGACTGGAGAAAGGCTTCATCCCTGCCAAATGGTTGCAGAGATTCCTCTCTCTCTCTCTCTCTCTCTCTCTCTCTCTCTCTCTCTCTCTCTCCTCTCTCTCTCTCTTTGTCATTTACTAACTTAGAATTAACAGCCCAAGTCACTATGGA